TCGATTGCTAGGCCCTACCCGTAGTTTTAAGAAGATTTTTTTTTCTCTATATTGGTTATAATGTTTACCTTTATCGTTTGATTTGACGACTTTCGCTTTCCGATCCGTCAAATCGGTGATGACAGAGGATGATTTGCTGTTTGTAAAACCTTACATATATCTCGTCTTGATTCGGTTAATGTCATCTTCCTCTTACGTCAGATCGGTTGTTTTACGTTGTTTTTTTTCTTCCAAAAATTCTTACAGAACTACAAATTCAACTTAGTTAAAAGATCTGAAATCAGTTGATTGGAAAACGTTACCTAAATTAGAAGGTTTCTCATCGCTAGTAATAATAATATTCTCTCGGTAGGTACAGTCTCTATGTTTTGCTTCGTTTATTGTGTAACACTACTTTCTAAGATTAAATTTAAGGTGTGTCCACTCTCCGGTGCTTTCCATCTTGTTTGTGTTTCTCCGTTAAATCAGATCTCAACAGCAGCTGCTTCTGTCTCAGTCACTCAAAAAGTGTCCTTCTCCGTGTTTTTTTTATTCTTTTCTTCGACGTTTTCTTTAGTGTTAATGTAGAATCAAGCTTTACCTCAATTTCTTTTGTTTTGTTTTGGGTTTTTGTTCTTGTTCAAACTTTCACCGCCGTAAATAATCAGAGTTTTACTCACTAGGGTGCGAATTTGCGTTTGTTTTCTTCTGCTTCTTCGGCGAGCTGTTTGGGTGTTTAAATATTCTGAGGCTGTGCTAAACAAACGTTTGATAAAATGTTTGACATTTCTAAAGTTTTCAAAAATGAAGCAATATGAAAAGTGTTTTATTTTGTCAAATAAACAAATCGTTAAACTCGAATTTTGATTCCTAAAACTCTCAAATCGATTCGAACTTTTTGTTTTACGTGTGTTTGTGTTTGTCTGGTAAAAACATCTCAATTTAAGGTTTGTTTTGGAAAGGCATTATTTGTTTTATCATTGTTTTTACGTCAATTAAAAATCCTTAGAAACTAATGTCAATTTTTTTTTATGTTTCTTCTATGTTTTGTGTGTACCTTCTTAATCGATTAATAGTCAGCAAAATTTTCTTGTATGATTTTCACCTAGGCTTAAACAGTTTCGCTACAAATGACATTTTCCTTACTGTTGCTATAACCACTGCTTACGTAACATCTACATCCACAAGTTGTTTGGTATATAAAAAACACTGATCCAACCTCTAATACTCACAAATGTGCGCCGTTTTCTTGTTTGTGTTCTGTTTAAGGGTGATTACGAATGTTTCAAGTTTAAGATTCGGTTATTTTCGGTTCATTTTTTAATTCACTATTTTGTTGCGCTGGTAGAAATTTGTTGTTTGTTTACATTTCGACTGTTTCGACTAGTGTTTGGCTTTTCACATTGAATGGCTACGACGAATTTTCTGAGTGTGTATGTTTGAGCTTACATTTATCTATCCTTACTTGTTGGTTTTTGGAGTGTATTCTACTTGATTATCGGTGGATTCTGTTGATAGGGTTTTTTTTTCTGTAAAAAAGAGAGAAAGAGTTGTACCGAAAGATTAGGATATTGGAATACATTAATGTTTCGAATTTATCTCGGAAAAAAAAAATACAGCACCGTATTGGGTTTGAACTACATACAGCACCGTACCACAGACAACAGACGTTGAGGCTCGAACAAAATATCTTTTAAACCTAATGTAAGGATTCCTATTCAACTTAAGCGCCACCAACGCCGACTTCCCCATTTAAAAAAACCTCTTTGACAACATGATGGCGCTGGCGTTGCACAACTTACACTAGACACTAAGTGCCGGTAGCGTCGAGTGGTAATTTTCAACAGAAAATTTATCGATACTAGCACCACATTGGTCGAAAGTGGAAAATTTATGGAGGAAATCAGGAGATGCTAGCGCCACGTAACGGCAACGTTCCCACTTATCTTTACACAAGTTTCTGGTGCAAGTTGGACGTACTGAGCAGTTGGTGAAGGTGCCACCAAAAACTCCTGAGGGCGGAAATATGGCTGCTTCTTGAAAATGTTTTAAACGCCAAAAAAGTTTCATCAACTTGAACGAAGTTTCATCAACTTGAACGAAGTTTCATCAACTTCAACGAAGTTTTATCAAATCCAACGAAGTTTTATCAACTTCAACGAATTTTCATCAACTTCAACGAAGTTTCATCAACTCCAACAAAGTTTCATTAACTTCAACGAAGTTTCATCAAGTTCAACGATGTTTCATGAATTTCAACGAATTTTCAGCAACTTCTACGAAGTTTCAGCAACTTCTACAAAGTTTCAGCAACTTCTACAAAATTTTAGCAAGTTCTAAGAAATTTCGGCAACTTCTACGAAGTTTCAGTAACTTCTACGAAGTTTCAGCAACTTCTACGAAGTTTCAGCAACTTCTAAGAAGTTTCAACAACTTCTATGAAGTTTCAGCAACTTCTACGAAGTTTCATCAACTTGAACGAAGTTTCATCAACTTCAACGAAGTTTCATCAACTTCAACGAAGTTTCATCAACTTCAACGAAGTTTCATCAACTTCAACGAAGTTTCATCAACTTCAACGATGTTTCATGAATTTAAACGAAGTTTCAACAACTTCTACGAAGCTTCAACAACTTCTACGAAGTTTCAGCAACTTTTACGAAGTTTCAGCAACTTTTACGAAGTTTCAACAACTACTACGAAGTTTCATCAACTACTACAAAGTTTCAGCAACTGCTACGAAGTTTCAGCAACTTCTACGAAGTTTCAGCAACTTCTACGAAGTTTCAGCAACTTCTACGAAGTTTCAGCAACTTCTACGAAGTTTCAGCAACTTCTACGAAGTTTCAGCAACTTCTACGAAGTTTCAGCAATTTCTACGAAGTTTTAGCAAATTCTACGAAGTTTTAGCAACTTCTACAAAGTTTCAGCAACTGCTACGAAGTTTCAGCAACTTCTACGAAGTTTCAGCAACTGCTACGAAGTTTCAGCAACTTCTACGAAGTTTCAGCAACTTCTACGAAGTTTCAGCAACTTCTACGAAGTTTCAGCAACTTCTACGAAGTTTCAGCAACTTCTACGAAGTTTCAGCAACTTCTACGAAGTTTCAGCAACTTCTACGAAGTTTCAGCAACTTCTACGAAGTTTCAGCAACTTCTACGAAGTTTCAGCAACTTCTACGAAGTTTCAGCAGCTTCTACATAGTTTCAGCAACTTCTACGAAGTTTCAACAACTTTTACGAAGTTTCAGAAACTTCTACGAAGTTCCATCAACTTCTTCCAAATTCCATTATTTATTTTTGCAAGTTCTTTCAATTTGACCAAGATCTAAGAACATCCATGACATTTTCCAAACATCAGGAAAGACCTTCAGCCCTATTACAAATTTTCCTAAACATCTGGGCAAAACTAAGTTGTCCAAATAAAACCCCGAAGTTCTAAGAAGTATGCTGAATTCCTACAATACATCCTGAGTTTCTGCTAAATTTCTAGAAATTCTAACTAAAGTTTCTACGAAGTTTCAGCAACTTCTACGAAGTTTCAGCAACTTCTACGAAGTTTCAGCAACTTCTACGAAGTTTCAGCAACTTCTATGAAGTTTCAGCAACTTCTACGAAGTTTCAGCAACTTCTACGAAGTTTCAGCAACTTCTACAAAGTTTCAGCAACTTCTACGAAGTTTCAGCAACTTCTACGAAGTTTCAGCAATTTCTACGAAGTTTCAGCAACTTCTACGAAGTTTCAGCAACTTCTACGAAGTTTCAGCAACTTCTACATAGTTTCAGCAACTTCTACGAAGTTTCAACAACTTTTACGAAGTTCCATCAACTTCTTCCAAATTCCATTATTTATTTTTGCAAGTTCTTTCAATTTGACCAAGATCTAAGAACATCCATGCCATTTTCCAAACATCAGGAAAGACCTTCAGCCCTATTACAAATTTTCCTAAACATCTGGGCAAAACTAAGTTGTCCAAATCAAACCCCGAGGTTCTAAGAAGTATGCTGAATTCCTACAATACTCCCTGAGTTTCTGCTAAATTTCTAGAAATTCTACGAAGCTCTCTGAGCTTCTAAAATTTTGGCTGAACTTCTACAAAGTTTCCTGACCATAAAAAAAATTTCAGCATGAACTTATAAGATATGTATATAATGAAGTTTGCTGAATCCTACAAAGTTCCCTGAACTTTTTAGAATTTCTTTGCTTTTCTGCGATGATCCCTAAAGTTCAACAAATATTCCTGAATTTTTACGGAATTTCCTGATCTATTTTAAGTCTTAAGAAGGTATTGTAAGTTTTAAGAAGTGCCTTGCACTTTTATGATAACTTCATCGAAGTCTCACAAACTCGTATAAAGTTTCCAATTCTATATAGTTTTCTCGAATTTTACAATTTTACATAGCATTCAAAATTACTTTCATTATCCGATTCTCTGCGAAGTTCCTTGTCCTCTGAATATCTCAAAAGTCCCTGAAATAAAAAAAATAAAAAACCAAGAAAGTCAATTCCCGAATTTCTGCGAAATTCGCTCAATTTCTCTAAAATTCGCTTAATTTCAACGATGTTTCAAGAAGTTCTACATTGTTCTCAGAACTTATTCAAAACTTATTGAAGTTCTACGATTTTTTCTGAATTTCATGGAGTTCACTGAGCTTCTACAAAGTTTGCTGAGCTTTTACAGGGTTACCCGAGTAGCACATTTCCATCATAATAAGTTGCAGCAACTTATTTATGACTGATATAAGTTGTATAGAAGTTGCCACAACCGATTTGTGACAACGGTGCTACTAGGGTAGTTGAGTTTATATAAAATTTGCTGCATCAAGGACCTCGGGATCCACTGGCAGCCGTGCAGCGACGAATTCCTGTTCAGCGTTCAACCACCCAAGATCCTTCAGCCCACAAAGCGCATCATTCTCTCCAACATCGCCAGCCTTTTCGACCCACTCGGTCTGCTTGCGCCTATCATCATCAAAGCGAAGCTACTGACGCAACATTTGTGGGAACTGAAGGTGGACTGGGATGTTATTCCCCCTGGTGAGTTGACTAATATCTGGCAAGTTTTCGTGCAAGGTCTGGCCCTTCTCAACTCCTTTCAGGTTCCGAGACGAGTTATCGGCACTAACAGGACGTCGCGAATTTTCCTGCACGGCTACAGTGATGCATCCGAGCGAGCCATTGGTGCCTGCATATACATCCGGACGATCGACGATGCTGGGAATAATAGTTCGCATCTACTCTGCGCAAAGTCCAAGGTTGCGCCAATTGGAATTAAAAGAACGACGCTGCCACGTTTGGAGTTATGTGCTGCAGTGATCCTCGCACGACTCATCAACAACGTAACAAGCGCCATCAATCAACCTTTCTTCGAGATACGAGCTTGGGTGGATTCAAGTGTTGTGCTTGTCTGGCTCAACGGCGGTGCTTCCCGCTGGAAAACCTTTGTTTCCAACCGGGTGGCAGAAATCACCACGCACCTACCGGCAGTCAATTGGAGCCACATCGCATCGGAGCAAAACCCCGCTGATCTCATTTCGCGCGGTGCATCGCCAGAACAAATTCAGCACAACAGTCTGTGGTGGAATGGTCCTGCATGGAGCCCCATAGGCGAGCAATGTGAATCAACCGACATCCCTACACTGACCAACACTGACCAACAGCACATTGATAGGGAGCAAAGAGCTGGTGCAGTAGCCGTTTCTCTCATCACTCTCTATGAAAATGACTTTCTCGATGGAATGATGGCACGATATTATCCCGATCTCACGAGGCTGCTTCGGGTCACTGCTCGTATTCTTCGGTTGAGGTCTCTTGACTCTCGATCGATTCCTCGTCTGTTACCACGGGAGCTTGATCGAGCCCAAACAGTTTACATTCGCCACGTTCAGCAACAGCACTTTCGTGAAGAGCTGGAACGTTTGCGGCAGCAAGGAGAAGTTAGTTCGCACAGCAGTTTGCACCAACTCAAGCCATTCCTGGACGAAGAGGGTATGCTCAGGGTGGGCGGAAGACTACAACAATCAAGTCTAAGCTACGACGTTCGACATCCTATATTGATACCTCGCCATTCTATCCTCACATCTTATCTGTTAAATCATGACCACATCGTCCATCACCACTGCGGGCCACAAACACTGCTAGCCGTATCCCGGAGGAGATTTTGGATAATTAGTGGTGCAAGTGCAGCAAGGAAGGCTTATCGTCAGTGTGTGACGTGTGCACGTGCTAAGCCAGTTCCTACGCATCAACAAATGGGTCAGCTGCCATCTGATCGAGTTCAACCAAATCCACCATTTGCGATCACTGGTGTGGACTATGCCGGTCCAGTCAGCATTGTAGGACGTAGGACCAGAGGTGCGAAACAAAGCAAGGGGTACATCGCACTCTTTGTTTGCTTTACAACAAAGGCCGTGCATATGGAAGCTGTTTCTGAGCTTACTACTGCAGCGTTCTTAGCGGCATTCACTCGATTTTCCAGCCGCTACGGTTTGCCAGCGACAACGCTCGGACAACGTTCTCGGACAACGCAACGAACTTCCGAGCAACAGCTAAGCACCTTCGAGAAATGTACGCGCAACTCAACTCTTCTGTACACAACGATGAAGTGGTCGACTTTCTAACCGACAAGGGAGTGGAATGGAACTTCATTCCGACAAGGGAGTGGAATGGAACTTCATTATGGGAGTCAGCGATCAAGGTTGCTAAGCAGCATTTGTCGAAGATCACAGACAAACAGACATAACACATTGAATATTTCTCACTGTAAAACATCGTCGCTAAAACATTACCGCCATCTGTTGAGCATACTGTGGTAGGTAGTACGCTGAACAGATGGCGGTAGTGTGTAAACGTCAAACGCAAGGGAATTGACTATGCGTGCCACAGGTAGCGGTACTACCAACTACGATACTTTTAAATTGTCCGCTTGTTCGATGAACAACTTGCGAGTGTTATGTCTGTTTGTCTGTGGTTACATCTTTACCTTCGAAGAACTGTCCACGCTGATAACTCAAATTGCTGCCACCATGAACTCGAGACCCCTTACACCGATCTCCAATAGCCCTATCGATGCTCAACCTCTCACTCCTGCTCACCTTCTCATCGGTCGTGCACTCACCACCGTTCCCGAAGTCAACTTGCTGGAGTGGCAAATTAGCTCGATGTCACGCTGGCAGTTCGTTCAGCGTCTCTCGCAAGAATTTCGCTCTAGATGGCAGACAGAATACGTGCGATCTCTGCAGCGGATGGCAAAGTGGCAACGTTCATCCCACAACGTTTCGGTCGGCGACTTCGTTCTACTAGTGGACGACAATTCGAAGCCAAAGCAATGGCCTACGGGTAGAATCATCGAAACCTTCCCAGGAGCAGATGGAGCAATTAGAGTGGTATCAGTCCGAACAGCATCTGGTACTACTCGTCGCGATGTCAGGAAGATAAGAGCCATACCATTGGATCAGGATGAGTATGTTCCAAGAAGACTTCGATCGGAAATTCCCATAGGGAATTTGGTGGGCGGATTATGTTCGAGCGAAATCTCTGGACGTTCCCCTTCCAACTAAGATGTGAACAGTTATCCCCTGCAGCATCCCCTGTAGTGGTTATTGATCGATAAGTTTGTCTCTTTTCTTTACATATACTGTATTCTCTTTCCTACAACCAACTTCAAATGTATTGAATTGGAATAATAAAAATCAATTGAATAATCGGTGAAGTGATTCGCACGCGTTTTTTTGTTACTCGTCCTTCAGATCGTGATTTCCCGGGTTTTCCATATTTTCTCCGGCTCTGGCCACTCCAGTCACTATTGGTCACTTTTTTATTGGTTTAGTCACTATTTGGTCATTTTTTTCGTTATTGTAGTCAATACTATTGTAGAAAATACCCACTACCTGCTGACAAAATTTTATCATTATCTCTAAAGGGTTATTTTTGAACGTCTTTTTTGTTTAGGGTAGAGTTTTTTTTCAATAAACGGGAAAAAACCGGGAATTGAAAAAAGAAATTTGAATGGACACCCTGTCACCGTGGCAGGTCTGTCGGAGAACACTCAAAAGCTGCAGGTCCTCACCAACCGATGCCTGCGGTATTCAACTTGTGCTTGGTGGAGGCTTCCCAATAGAATCTCCAATGTGATATCTTAATCTTCCAAGAACTTGATTAATAATTTAGCTTAAATACAGGTCTTAATCCAGAGCAAATTAATTGCCAACCGAAGAGTTTCCTTCAACTTTAATCGCCTTAAGATTACACAATTCCGACTATCTCGCATCGCATCGCAGCTGCGGCCCCTCTGCCGATGCAGATAAACGAGATCTCAAATCCCATAACGAATCCATCTTCGGCAATCTTCCTTTAACCCTCTCTAGTGCAGCATCATCAACAACGGCAAACAACATTGTATATGACAACGACCGACCGACCGACCGACCATCCAACCGAACAAACGACGACGGTAGCTCTGGTGGCAGCAGCAGCCAAGGACTCCAGAGCCATATCCATTATTCTTCATAATTTATGGGAAAACAAGCCCAGAAAGAGGTCGCTTGACGTCAACTTGATCTTCCTTCGCTTGGCTCTTCCCTCCCCCGAATAGAAATACACCTTGAAAGAACTGTTCGATTGCATCTATCTCATTAGTGTTAACTAATGAAGTTGCGTTGTCACCAACCAACTGTTTTCGATTGAATTTTGAAAACTAAATTGGTAGAAAATCCGTCAGTAAATTTTGAACAATTGCCTACGGATCATTGAGAATCAATTGTCAATCAAATGTCCATTTTTGTTCGGGTCCCACGTCCTTCGCCGGCACAAATTCCACATATAGACTCAAAGTAGCCGCTTTCGCTCAAACTTTTTCTTCTTCTCCGCGCTCCCAAGATCCTCGCAAGAAAATTGGGGCCCCACCGCCCATCTAAAGTGCGGTAAAAATACTTTCAAGGGTGAACGACGACGACGACGTCAGGGTGGGACAAAAAAAGAAAATAATAGAAAGGAAGGGTTGGTTACATCTTCAAGCTCTCCGGGTTTATATTCCGGGAAGTGAGTTTTTCCATTCTTTAGTCACACCACCAACGACAACGACGACACATGGATGACGGTCGGACGGAAGGACGGACGGACGGGTCGATTGAGTGGGCGTGGGAAAGCACGTTTTCCTCCGACACTTATCGGAAGAAATTTACGGAATGAGGCACAATAAGCGAGCGGAAAAAACTTTTTCCTATCTCACACTTCCTCGATGCCACGCCAGTGATGCCACATTTTTCAGCAGTACTTTAGTGTGCACGAATAATTTTCGCTTTTCAGCTTCTCAAATTCGAATGAATATGAACTCTGCTGTACGGATTTCTGCATGGACATTTTTCTAAAAATCTATGCCATTGGAGAAAAATCTGAATATCTGGCCACACTGTCCCGCGCGTTGTCTGGCCGTGACAGTTTGCGGGAAGATGGGAAAAGGAAACCAGAGATAGAGCGGCGCAAATTGAAATATTATGATGAGGCGCATCATCAACCGTCAGGTTGAGCGTCATCATTGTCGTCGTGAATGGGTTCGTCCCTTGTCAGCGCCCGATAGGAAATGGACGACGGTAATGTAGGGAGATTATGATCGGAAGTGGGGTGCTGATTTGAATCAGTGTTTGATGGAGGCATAGTTGGATTGCACGGTGCTCAAATTTCGAGGGGTCCTGCATCATTCAATTCAGAAAAAAAGGATCGAAAATCGACCGTACTCTCACTTACCTAAAATACAGCTAATTATTTGGATTCCATTCAGCGGCAGCAGCAGGTGTCAGGGAGGCGCCAATCCGAGGCCGGTTCTTCCTTCGCCGCACTTCCGTTCTTCACTTCTATTTCTGCTCCGCGCTGCGATGCAATGACGGTGTGTTATTACGTGTGGATGTGTACAAATGTGCTCGAATATGCTTGTTTACGTTGTTTCTCACAAGAGAAAAACAAAAACAAAAAATATCTCGTATCAAATTTCCATTGGTTTTGCACTCGACTTCGTGGCTCGTGAAATTCCTCCGACCGAACGTACATTTAAATCTACTAATCTAAACCAATTCTGCATTATCGATCTCGTGCTGTGTCCTAGGTCATTGGCCTTGGATATGTAGGTGTGTAGGTGTGTCTTTGTGTGTGTGAATTTAGAAGATGAAATCGCCGCAGTCCATCGCGTAGTCGAAGTCCTCGCCGCCGACGTCCTCGATGCCGTTGATGTCGAACGGGCTGATGTCGGTGTGGTAGATTCCACCGGCGCACGGGGCCTCGATCATGTTGGTGCAGTGCGTCGTCGGCAGGGCGTGCAGCGTGATCGAGTCCTCACACTGGGACCAGGTCAGTGCTGGAAAAGAAGAGAATAGAAGAGAAGTGATAAAGAGTACACCATTTAACACATGGGAGCATGAGATGATGACCGTACAGTTCGTAGTTGTCATCCATGCACAAAGAACCAAATGAATGGGGCTTGCTCGGTAAGCAAAAACGGTTGCCACTAGGTCACCGAGTTCCTTATGAGCAGTTCCACGCCAAACGACGAATCGAAAAAAAACTCGAGCTTCTCCGATCTGCATTACGTAATTGTTTGTTATGGGCGTTATAACGGAATTAAACCAAAACACTCAAAAAGCTCTTGATTGGATCATTTGTCCCGCAACAGGCATAAAAAGTTCTCAATTAATAACTGTGAAAGTGCATCTAGAACACTATGTTAATAGCCGGAAAAACGCTCACTACTGAAGCGTAAAAAGTCTAAAGCATGGCCCACTTAGTAATGGAAGAACATCATTTGGGCTAGGGGAAGTACAACTTGATCTGAAGTAATATTTGGTGTAAAAATTGCACAAAATGGTATTTATTATAGATTTTAGTATAAATATTAATGATATTAACTGTCAAGCGGAAAGCTACAAAGCAAAAAAAATTTAACAGTGTAACTTTAACGCATACATTCAATTACGTTTCACCGTTTTTGTTTATGTTTACTGCAGCTTTCTGTTGTTCATCATTTTTGCCTAGATTTTCGTTTTCGATAGCTCTGATCGTTTTCGGCTTCGGCTTTTAATGATAAAAACAACACTGGACGTTCCCCCAGCAGCAAATCTCTCCAGGTTACAGGCTCATGGCGAATCGAGAGTAATACCATAGAGGTAACTCTAAGACCACTGGGTCCCGAAGAAAATCATTATTATTTTTGGCTCACTCAGTACCAGAACAACGGTCCCAAGCAGTCCCAAGCTATTTCACTCACCCCTGCATGTTCTGCATGAATCCACACACCCCTGATGTTATCTGTCAAACTTTCATAGCGAATCAAAACAGACATAGTGTAGTAATAGAATTTCAACTAGAATAGGGTACGTTAATCGTTTGCTTGGGACCAATAGCAACAATCAATACGAAACTAACGATTTTAAATTGGCTCACCGCTTTAGTAGCCTATTGGTCCCAAGCAAACGATTAACGTACCATATTCTAGTTGAAATTCTATTACTACACTATGTTTGTTTTGATTCGCTATGAAAGTTTGACAGATAACATCAAGGGTGTGTGGATTCATGCAGAACATGCAGGGGTGAGTGAAATAGCTTGGGACTGCTTGGGACCGTTGTTCTGGTACTGAGTGAGCCAAAAATAATAATGATTTTCTTCGGGACCCAGTGGTCTTAGAGTTACCTCTATGCCAATAGGCTACTAAAGTGGTGAGCCAATTTAAAATCGTTAGTTTCGTATTGATTGTTGGTAATACGGCCACGGAACCATCACTCTGGGACTCCGTTTACAGGACGGCGTAGTTAGTCGATTCCCGTTCCATCGGAGGACAGTACATTGATTCGCAGACGTGGAAATTAATGGCTATTTCCTGGGAACGGAAGTGCGGCCGAATTTATTAGAACAAGGAGGGCATTTCGGTGGCGATGGCCAGCAAGATCATCATGAATGACTTGCCTCTCGTGTGAAATCCATTTTTGATTAAACGAATGTCAAATGTACACTTAAAACCAAACATAGCCAAACACAAACAAACAACTGTCAGATTATGTATAAGATTCGCAAATATCACACATATTAAAATATTTAATATTTCCACCATCGGTATTAATGCCGATACTTGGAGCTGTCCTTCCCCTAGCATTTGGGTCTATTTCGGATTTTAATTAATGGATTTGATTTAACGAATTTGAAAACGCATATTAGCCCAAATTAAGGACACTTTGGCCGACATTACATACATTTCCCCTATTCCTTATATTTTAGGAAAAAAAAAACGAAACGAATTATTCGTCGTGGTTTCGAAGGAATTCTAGAACTGTTCCCTTAATACGACCCATCAAGTGGCGTGGCGCACTGTTTTGGCGATTTTATCCCACCAATTTTTCATCTGAGCTGCCGTTTTGATGACTGTCCCTTTTACCTTCAGTTTCCTCTTCATAATTGCCCAGTAGTTTTCAATGGAACTGAACTGGGGACAATTGAATGGAATTGAGGGTTTTCAGAATAAACAGAACTCCGTTATACCATTGCTTACTTCCAGGCTGTAAAGACAACTCCCAAGATTCGGCCAAAAATGTCACTGAATTAAGGGCAGAATTCGCTTCTGGAGATATTCGGTTTTGTAAGCCTCCGAGTTCATCATTTTCTCAGTGACGAAAACCTTTGTCTTCTGGCTGCAGCTGCAAATTCCATGCCAGCTGGTCCTGGAAGCTGTCTGAAGTCGGCCTTTACATAGGTTTCATCATCCATAAGTATGCACCCACCGGAGCTTTCGAGCACGGTTTCTAGCTACGGTATTCTGCTTGAGTGGTCGATTTGGTTGCCCAGTGGTACGGTATGCCTGTAAGCCTTCGCGAATTCGGTGCACTGTACTCCGGGCGGCATCATACTTTTCACTCAAATCGTGATCGGACATACCTGGGTTGCTTCTGATGGAGCTGACGGTTGGCAGTTCCACTGGCATGAAGCTGCCGGTTGGCGTTCACTTTGAGGCTTCCTATTCGTCGTCAAGGTTACCCTGTACGTTTTGAGCACGTGTTAGCCAGCTTGGACGTGGACCACGATGCATTTTCCGGGTGACCATGCATGACTTTTTGACGTATGACTACGTCTTTCGGGAAGGGTGCCAATTCAGGGAAATGCAACGAAAATTGGTCAGACTTTAAATGCTAATAACTTGGCTAATAATCAATGGACTTTGATGATTTGTATGTCAATCGATTCACCAGTATTATAAGATTTGTGTGGTGTGTCACACATTATAATTGTTAAATATTTAAATAGTTAACAATGAAGAAATATGGCAATAGTCAGAGGTGCTTACCCCTAACACAGCCATCAGAATGTCGATCCCTAACGACACAAGCCGAAGCCGAACGTTGGACGGTTCGACCTCGGACTTGTTTGCTGCTGCGTAGGCTTCGTAGCATTCCTAGCAGCTCAATACATACACCTCACACCAATGAAAAACAACCAGACGCAGGCGCAAATAGTTCCAGGGCAATGGAAAAGCTGTACTTACCGCCGTGCGACCCACTACCATGGTCTATGGGTTATTTTTGCCAAACACGTACCTAAAATTCCGTCGAATATCCAGCTCATCGGAGTAACTGTGATCCGTCGATATCAGAAGAATTTGAACATTGCAATCAGTAGGAATTGTTCAATTTATCAGTCACCCACAAAAATGTAGTGAAAACAAATGTCCTTCTTCAAGGCCAGCAATAAATCTTTACATAAGAGCTCTAGTTTATTGTAAATAAAGCTGAACCGTCATCAAAAGTGCAAAACTTGTGTAATAGTGCGCGATTAGCTTGTATCTTTTTGATACGTTCGACAGGCAAGGAATAAGCTTCGTGCGGAAAAGATACCGATAAACGATTTTGACAGAATTTATATCTACCAAAACGTGCTCCGACTCCGGGTTATTTTGAAAAACCAAAATCGACCGCGTTACGAAAAGTGGTCAGGTTTTGAACACGTATGAATCAATCAATAGCGGATGTAATTTAATTCCAAATATGCCAATCGATTGGAAATTTTTCTACGAATCTATTGAAATAAATACTTCATCACTTTTCAATAAGTCACTATTAAAAAATAACCACAAATCCAACTGTTGCAATAGTGATCAAAATTCTCACCAATTCTCTGCAAAACAAGTGGTTTTCCTAACACAGTTGCCGAATATTGATACCAATCATGCAATCCTACTCAAATCTACGGTCGTGTCTCTTATTTTTTTTTGTGTTATTTGGGGTATTTTTTGGAAACTGTTTTATCCCATAACATGGCGTATTTTTGGATAATAATGGGAACTGTTTTATGCCATAACATGGCGTATTTTTGGATAATAATGGGTTGTAAATAATTTTTTTTTGATGAAGTGGTGTCAAGTTTTGAACGCTTATAACATGGTCATTTATTATTGAAATTCAATTTTAATCACACTATTTCATTCAGATTGAAAGAAGGATTTGTTTGGTATAAAGATGCTAGTTGCTTGTTTGGTATAAAGATGCTAGTTGCTTGTCAATGGTTATTTATTGAAATTTGATCAAAATGTTAAGCCTTAATCAACCAATCACATGCTCGCTCGCTATGATTATCGAGGGAACAGAAAGAAGAGCTTGTACCACTCAATACTCAATATAATTTGCTGTCTGTTTTTTTTTTCTATTCATTCTCCTATATCAACAAAATACTCCTGAAAAGAGATGAGTCATGAAATTCACTTTATCCCAAAACAATATCCGAAACAACAAACTAGGAAATTGAAAAAAAAAATCGACACCCTCCAACTTTTTTTCTACGCTCCTCTTGCATGGTGACTATCTTCAAAACAAGAGCGTTTAATGAACTGAAAAAAAAAAACTACAAGGAATAAGCCTAAGGGGTTGTACACATTGGTGAAGTAGGACTACGTGGTCTTATATAATAAATCTTATTTGTTAACAGCTGCAGGAGCTTGTGTTTTGTGTAAGAATAGGAATTTGAGCGGGGTTCTCTCTGTTTATACTTTTTAATATGACGCGCGACTCACGAAGAGCTACTGACTCCGATCAATGCGGTGCGGCTTCTTCCTCCTTCTATGGATGCTCATGTGGGCTGCAGGTAGCCTTTCGTTGTGTACTGGAGAACACCACCACTCACCTCGCGGTGATTGAATAAACACCGTTTGGTGAGACCGGATGGAATTCAACATTGAAATCTGTGTTAGGGAAATCGCTTTTCGCATGCAATCGGTGATAATTTTAATTATAATAGCAACAGTTGCACATTCATGCAATTTTCAATATTGACATTTGGAAAAACGATAAAGTCTTATTTTAACAGATTTGTATAAATATT